ACAAAAAAAATTAATTCAAGCCAAAAGGAAAAAAATATGTGACCATTGGGGAGTATCATGTTTGTTTTTGCCCAAAATGCTTGTCAATTTTGCTCATGAGTTTACAAATATTCAATCTAAATATGTCTTTCTTAGTCAAAATTAAAACTAAATATGTTGCATATTTTTAGGCCTTGAGGTCAAAGTAAAAACGCCCAACGTTTTTACAGTTGGCACTGTGGAACGTAAGGCGAATCTATCAGTTACTAAATCCCAATAGGGTTACCTTATTACAAAGATACGGCAGAACGCCAAACGACTGATGAAAGCAGAACATATGGTAACAAGATGTTTTAAAGTACTTTTTCGGCAGTTTAGAACAATATAAAAATAACACCAACTCAATAGGGCTTTTCCGCGACGAATTAAAATTTTAAAAGTGAAATAAATGAGTTTTTACAGTTTACGCTTAAGGGAACCCCCCCCCCCCCCCCCCCCCCCCCCATTCACGATTTTAATTTTTCAAGATTTTCAATGGGCTGGTAAATCAATACCAATGCTTGTTAAGGTTTGCAACTTTACACATATATAATTGAAGATTTAAAATAGAAGAAAAATAATTTACAAACAATTTTTGTTAATGTTTTGTTGTTGTTTTTTGTAATTAAAGAGAAGTCCTTATTTTTGATGGCGGGCATGATAACTCCTCACTGGAACATAGGAATCCGAAAATTCCAACGGTGCTTGAAAGAGTACATGTCTGCCTCGCGTATGAACTAGGATTATTGACTTCGCTCTAAAATTAACAAAATGGTGAACCCTTGAAAAAATATTTTTGGAAAATCTCCGATTTTTTACCAAAACCCAAGTTAAAAAATAAGGAAGATCTTCACCGATTGGCTTTATCCTAGTTCATACGATAGCTATACACTCACAGAGAAACGTGTAAAAATTTGAAATCGATTGGGTTATTAGTTTTTGAGTTATCGTGCCCGCCATTCGCAAAAAAATGTTTAGAGAAAAACGCGTTTAAAGTTTGGGACCCTTTAGCCGTCACTTGATGCTGACACAATAAATCGGCTATATCTTCAAGAGTTGTTGAGATTTTCATTTGAAATTTTGTAGGGACATTCTTTAATTAGTGTAGATTCGAATTATATCAACAAAATTTTTGACCCCGAGAATGGGGGGGTCCCCTTAATACTTTTTGGTAGTAAATTAAGAGTGCCATCAATGATAAAAAATTGAGAACCTCCAGTTTTCATCTTTTGAGATTAAAGCCATGGAAGAACGGCCACTCACGCGATTTAAAACAACATGACTTTAGACATCATGCTAATAATGGAAACATTTCTGCGATTTGAGTCAAAATTTTTATGACATAAATAAGAATTATTATTGGACTTAAAATTTGTCAAAATTCCCATAATTTCCTGTATTTTTTTGAGAACTACCTCACATTCGAACCCATATTTCAGTTGGGCGCCATATTATAATTCACTGTGAATTTAAGATAAGCTATTATTTACCCCAAGGTCACTATAAATATTGCGATTCAAAAATCTAACTCACATCGCATACAAATTAACAATATCTACTACTAAAATAATGATTCTCTCACATGCACATATCTTGCTTTATGAGGAGATTTTATTATTACAATCGTCTAAATATGGTATAAAAATCGCATTTAGGGTTCTGAGAATTCATTACATCCATAAAAAAATCATTCTTTGGTGCGCATTTTGGTCCGAAACTGTAATTGGATTTTACTTCTTCGAAAACGATGATGAAAGACTGTGACCGTCAAATTTGTAGCGTTATGGTCTATGTAACTATTTTTTGCCTGCTATTGAAGAATAGAACTTGGATAATATGGTTTGGTTTCAACAAGCCTTACTACTACATGGCACACAACTCGAGTGAATATGGATTTTTTGCAAGAGATATTTCCTGGCCGCTTAATTTCTCGTCGTGGTGATATTCATGTTTTCACAAAAACTGGCCACCAAAAACATGAAATTTGACACCATTCGATTTTTTTATAGAGCTACGGTAGAGATGTTTTTTTTTTTTGCAAGAGACATTACAATTCGACAATTGAATACCAAGTAAATTGTATTGGAGGAGGTTCAATTATGTAGGAGGAGGAGGCGCAAAATCAATTGAATATAAGCTTCAGTATTTCGCCACGAAAGCCAATAATTTCTCAAAACATAGTCGAAATCGTTTAAAATTACTCGAAATATAGCGGCATATCGGTTTTAACGACGGTATCCAAAGGTCCCAAAAAACTTAATTACATATCGCTTATACGACTATGGCTATTGCGACCACTTTGGTCTGGCCATAGACAATTCTGACTGTAATAACTATTGTTGCTGGAACTCCAAATTTCTGATTAAAAAGAACATCTTGGTATAGCTGCTTGATTTTAAATATTGTGAAAGGTTTCGCTAAAGTTTTGAATAACGTGATGTCAATAGTTTTCAGTATTGGTCCACGATAATAGTAATAGTAAGAATCATCATTGGGAATAGTGAATATTCCCTGGAAACCAATTTTACACTATTTCTGTTTCGATGTCTTTGATGTGATGGTGGAGCTACGTACTTTCATTAAAATGAAACTAAAATACATTGAAACTAGTGACTGTAATAACTATTGTTGCTGGAACTCCAAATTTCTGATTAAAAAGAACATCTTGGTATAGCTGCTTGATTTTAAATATTGTGAAAGGTTTCGCTAAAGTTTTGAATAACGTGATGTCAATAGTTTTCAGTATTGGTCCACGATAATAGTAATAGTAAGAATCATCATTGGGAATAGTGAATATTCCCTGGAAACCAATTTTACACTATTTCTGTTTCGATGTCTTTGATGTGATGGTGGAGCTACGTACTTTCATTAAAATGAAACTAAAATACATTGAAACTAGTGAGTGGAGTAGTATAATCATACGGAGCCGGTCATATGATACACAACAATCACGGAACTTTAATTCTCTGCGGATCTATACTCCAGCCTTGTCATTATTTCGCAATATGTGAACACTGTTGACCGATTAGATGCTAACATCTCCTGCATATTTTCCGAATCTTGTTTTCCCGATGTTAATATTTACGTCATAAGGTGCACATTTTGCCATTCAATACACAAATGTCTTGGTTGATTTGAACCGCTGAATATTGACCAAACATTATCTGAACAGCCCTTCAAATTAGTTGGCCACGTTCACTTTCCCGTGTGACGTGCTATCACCTGATCATCATCGAAAATTATAGACATCGTATTTGATCATAAACCTAACCACAAGTAAAAATTGCTAGCCATCAGCGGTGTTTGTGTCGTAATAGTTTTTGGCCTATTTCATCCTCTAAATATTAACCAACAATTACCAAAAACAATAGGGGTATTCATTGGTCTGTATCGTGGACGGACGCACATGTCTAGATCGAGACATGATGGTATATGGCCAATATTTCGCGGCGTTACCAACATTTGGGAGCCACTCGGAGCTATAATACCCTTACAACATAGTTGTGTATGGTTTTCAAATAAACATACCTGATTCAAACATATATGGTATGTTCCAGAACCTGCAAGAATGTAAATTTTTTGACTACGATAACAATTTTTCCTTTATGAAATCGGAAAAATTAGTAGATTGTTGCAGTACGGGAACAGACCAATATATAACATTCAGGTTGAAATATATTAATTATTGTCGCTATGATGAAGATCGGTACGGCCGACTTTGGGCATTATATATTTGTTTATTACAGAAAATCTGTATTCGCATTGTTTTTCCTTTGTAAATGGCAACATTCTTCCATACACAATCCACTTATCGTTTAGTTGTGGTGTAAAAACGCCTTATACCATTCTTTATATCAATAGCGCCTCAAAGTATGCTTTATTTTCGTAAAGGTAACTACATATCTTTTAAATAAGCAATTTCATTGAACAAATTATTGATTTAACATTAACTCATTAATATCATACTTTTGAAACGAACAAATTAAACTATATGATAAAGTACTAGAAATGAAAATTATAATTCTATATAAGAATCTGTACTTCAAATTAATTATATAATTGATTAATTGTCGTATCAAATTAACGTATAAAAACAGCAAAAATATTTTCACAAATTGATTTAATTAATTACAACGACACAATGTCAAAAATATATGTACTCAAGTTTCTTGTGCAGACAGAGAAGGCCAGACTGGACAGCAAGCATAATACTTGAGACGACATAATAGATATGAAGTTAATTTTGAGTCTGCTGCAAAAGTTCTCAAACATGTTGTAATTAAAAGGCCAGAGAAAACTCTTTTTGAATGCAAAACTCTCCAATGGTCATTTGCCCCTTTTGATAATTTTTCTTTTATTTAAGAGGGGGTTTTAGCACAAACTGAAAAGTTTTTTTTTTGTTATTTTTGCCATACATACCTATTAATTTAAATAAAATGAGAAAAATCCTTGCTTGCCTGAATCCTGGCATAATGAACACATACGTCCAACGATAGAATGGTAGAAGACTTATTAGTGTGTTCTGTTTTTAAACATTAAATTAATTTTAATTATTATTTGTTGCTGTTGTTCTTATTCTAGAAAGTTTCCATTCTTGGGGTAGGCAGATGATGTCCTATTTATGCATGTATGTGTGTATGTAGGTTGTGACTTGGTTTTCGTTTTTTTTTTCTCGGAAAGGTTGATAATAGGTTGGTTGGATGACTGCCATTGAAGGAGTGTAGAACAGGGATAACAGATAACAGGGAATAATGATGCCACATGACTGACACACTGTCTGAGGGTGATTGACAGACAGACAGATAGACATACATATGTAAAGGGCCAGCGACTTTATGTTGTGATTTAATGATATCAATTCTCATCAATGTTTATGTTATATTTGGCTTATGTTAATTGTTGATGTTGTTGGGGCTGTAGTTGTTGTTGGTGGTGGAAGTGGTGGCGGTGCTATTGCAGCCAAAGGATTATTCAGCTCATTATGTTGATGGTTGTGGCTGTGGTGGTGTTGTTGTTGATGTTGGTATTATTTCAGCGTTGGATCCAATGTTGTAAATTCCAATTCACCTCGCGGCAATATCAGATCGGGGTCTGTAATATATACTTTTGTTGTTGTAATATGCATACATGTTGTGGTTGTTGGCATTTTTGTTAGTATAATTTTTTTACGAATAGAAAAAAACAAATGTTAAATAAAGTGTGAGATTTTTAAGTTGTTAGACAAGTTTAATTAGTTTTTGGTATACAAGTGCAGTCAATTAGATAGTATGTGTGTGTGTGTGAGTGTGCAGATGTGCGTGTGTGAGTATTTTTTGTGGGGAATCAAAGTGCATTTGTTTGTTAAATTTTTGGGATTGGTGTTTGTGCCATTTTTTTTTTAATAGAGAAAAAATACACAACAATATTATAAACCAAAATTAAATAGAAGAGGAATAAACAAAATATATGTCAAGAGTGAAGAAAGAGAGAGGGGAAAAGAGAAAGAGAGGCAATAATGTGAAAACCATATTTTTTCGCAAAAAGTTAGTATAATTAGTAAAATTTACTTGGATACACAAGCATTGAGTGTAGTTAGTTGGCTTCAATAAAAAGTATAGACATAAATTAAAAGCAGTAGCAAAGCAGAAATCATACACACACAGACATATAAACAACACATATATAATAGACACAGACACACAGACAGACACACAAAAATACTCAAACATATACAAACACACACACATATATATTATTTATATAGAACACCCATATCAAATATATAAACCATATCAAACTTCAAATGAAAAATAATATTCCTGCAAATTAATTTTCCTCCTTAGCAGTTTCTGCAGCTTCTTTGCTTCTAAATACTTGTTTCCAGCCAGTATAATGAGAATGACGTTGATGATTTAATGATATAAACTTACAATGTTATTAAAATATAATTAACGCAAACAGAAAAATCTTTTTAGAGATTTATTTCGTTGTAATAAAATATAATACATAATTGAAGATTATGAATAGAATAATAATTGGATAATTGGGGAGGATATTAGAAAACGTGTGCCCACACCAATGACAATACATAATTGGTAATTACAGGAAAATGTGTAGGAAAAACAAAATATGGAAGCTATTCGAAATAAATTACCAAAATGTGCGTAGAAGAAAGCGGTTCTTTCCTCTGAAATCCTCAAAATACTAAAAATTTAAGGGGACTTTTATATTGCGGATCGGAAAATATTGCTATGCTCAGAATATAGATCCACAGAAAGTAAGATTTCCGTGATAGTTGTGTGTCATATGGCCGGCTCCGTCCAACTATACTGCTCCGCTCACTGGTTTTACTTTCAAATGTGTATGTCAAACTCCGAAAAGTTTCGTGTTTATAATTGTAGTGAACTCTGGCGTATGAACGTTGCTAGTATATATACGCACCCACAGTAAAAAATTATTTTTATACCATCCACCATAGTATGGAGGGTATATTAATTTTGTCATTCCGTTTGTAACTCATCGAAATATTCATTTCCGACCCTATAATGTATATATATTCTTGATCAGGGTAAAATTCTAAGACGATCTAGCCATGTCCGTCCGTCTGTCCGTTCGTCTGTTGTAATCACACTATCTTCTGAAGGAATTGATTTTGTCTGCTGGCAGGTCAAGTTAGAAGATGGGATATATCGGTCCACGTTTAGCCATAGCTCCCATATAACAGTACCCCCCAATGTTCGGTATTTTGGGATTCTTGGGCGCGTTTTTCAACCGAATACGCTGAAATTTGGTACATTGGGTTCATATTTGGTACTAAATGTCCCTACAAAAAACGGCCCCATATAACGGTATCTCATAATTTTCAGTATTTTGGGGGTTTTGATCGTATTTTTCCACCGAATTGGCTGTAATTTAGTATTTCGAGTTGTTGATAGGTACCAAATCTCTCCACAAAAAATTATAAATATAGGTAAATTTTTTCGGATAACCCCCATATAAGGGTACCCCCCAATTTTCGGTATTTTGGGGTTCTTGAGCGCGTTTTTCAACCGAATACGCTGAAATTTAATACATTGGGTTCTTAATAGGTACCAAATCTCTCCACAAACAATTATAAATATAGGTTAATTTTTTCGGATATCCCCTATGTAAGGGTACCCCCCCCCCAATTTTCGGTATTTTGGGGTTCTTAAGCGCGTTTTTCAACCGAATACGCTGAAATTTGGTACATTGGGTTCTTAATACGTTCCAAATCTATCCACAAAAATGACGAATATAGGTCATTTTTTTCGGATAGCCCCCCATATAAGGATACCCCCAATTTTCGGCATTTTGGCGTTCTTGAGCTAGTTTTTCAACCGAATTTGCTGCAATTTGGTATTTTGTAGTCGTATATGGTAACAAATCTTCCTACCAAAAATTATTAATATTCACCCCCTTTTTTGGGGTAGTCCCAATAAAACCCCCTTTTTGGTTCTAAGACTCTTTTGTAGTCATTTCACCCTCGGAGGATAGAGAGATAAAAAATTAGAACGTAAGGTTCGATAATGAACTATAGCCGCATTTAGACCTAGCCCCTGATTGGAGGTTCCAGAAGGAGTGGACCAATATTCCCCATCATCGAATATGAACTAAGCTGGGAAGAAATAATAAGATGGGCAAAGTTCGGATGAAATCTAAATTTTCTGAAACGGATTTGGTCCAAAGAAACATGCGGTCTAGAACCAATATTTCGATGAGGTACTGTGTTAATGTGTATACACCCTCATTAGCCATAAGGCTGAGGGTACAATTATCCTTCAAAAATTTCTAAAATTTGTATTATAGTTCACATAATCCGTTTTTAGAAATGTCGGTATAGGTCCCCTTTTTGGTACGTTCCCTATATTTTCATTTCTAGTGTAACTGTCAATATATCTATGGTGGAGGGTATCCAAAGTTCCGGTCCGGCCGAACTTACCTCTTTTTCACTTGTTAAAATTGAAACTAATCCAATGCCTTCGACATATTATTTAATGAAATTCAGGCGCATGGACAAATTTCCATAAAATGTTGTTGTAAGATTTTCCTTTTACTTTACCTCAAATTAGAAACATTTTGCTTGGAAACGTGAAAACGACCTTGAAAGTCTGAAACTTGATAAGGAGACTACATGAAAACATGGAAGGTATTTGACAGATGGTGCGGCTTTAAACCTATTTTCGGTATCCTAAGAAAGAGAGTGTTTATAACACGAAGGCATTATATCCTCGGAAAATGAGAAATTCTAAATTTTGTAGACACTACTGCAGAAAATGGGACTAGGACCTTAAAAATACTTAAATTCGGACTTTATATACCCATGATCCTTTAGAATTTTTTTTACAAATAGGACTCACTAGATTATATAAAATGTGCGGACATTTTTTATTTGTGCTTCATCAAAAATTTTACCTATATTGAAAATTTTCGGCCAGGATGGGTTCGGTTATCCAATAGACCTAAATGCCACATAATAGTAACATATTCGGCTAGGTCCTCTTGCCACGTGAGGAAACTGTATATGGATATTTTGTATTTTGGGAGAGCGCTTAATTTATCGCCAATTCGATAGGAAATTGGGATCTTAAACACCTAAAATGGGATATTGGACCATGAGCCTCATATTTATTTTATTTATCCCTGGAAAAATTGAAATATATCAAATTATTCATATTTTATGTGGGTGCTATATCAAATCGAGATATATGCTGGCTTTTTCTGAGAGGAGGTCTTCTATATTTTGATAACACAAAATGCAATATTAAAGGGATTTCGATTGAAAAATTAGGCTTTATGAAGGATTTTAATGTGTCAAAACTGAAAATGTTATGCGTATAACCTAGCACCCTTTGAGAGGCTCTTCAGATCCATAATGGTTCCACCCCATTTATGGTATTTATGCCAAAATACGGATATATATTGACAACAATCTGACATGAGGTATTTCTTTTTAAGAGAACCCAAAATAACACTCATCACGGAAAAAGTTAAAAAAAAAAGAAAAATAATCGAAACACCTTATAAAGGATCTGTACCAAATAGTGTACCTTTACCCAATAATTAATAATAAAATAAGGACTTATTATAAAAAATCGACATATAATTACCAGACAGACAAAATAGATATATATCTATTGCATATGTATTGTGTGGTGTTTCAAAATCTTAAGACAAAACATAACCTAGTTATATAGGGTATAGTGCTAAACAAAGCCCGCTGAAACCTCCAGTCCTCAAGAGTTATAGTCTGTATGCAATACGTTTTATGTGCTTTGAGAAATCGACGAAAAATCGTTTATAGATGATGGCATTGAATGAAGAAAAAATAAATATTAATGAATAAATTAAATATTTTCTTAAGAATAACATCAGCAAATGTTTCATAAGTACCGAACAACAATCATAAGAATTTTCCTACGGGCCCTTCTAAGAGCAATCTATTAATGTTGTTGTTGTAGCAGCCCTATTGCTTTTACACAACGGGCTGAGGTGCCAGACGTTTGCCGAGCAAGACTCGGGTCGTTTCGGACCGTAGACCCCTCTGTCGTGGAAACGAAGAATCTATTAATGATTTATTCTAATTCACTCGTAATTTCCTTATGAGAAAATCAAATCTCGCCAACGAGCATGACATTATGACATTCGCGGAGATCGAATGCTATGCACAAAATTAATATCTATTTTGGATTGGCAAACTCTGATCAATACAATCCTCAAAAAGCGGTTACTATTTAAGTGTTACTCACAGTTAAATAATTACAGGACCACAAAAGTAATTCTGTTCAGTCATAATTTTCTTCTATGCGCAATACTCTTTGCCCTCCCCTTTTGACACTATTTTGTTCATTTTACCATTCATCTTGTCCCTCTGCCACTCTTTTATACTCCCTTCACCATAATGGACAATAATTCCCCCTTTTTGTTTTAATTCCACATCACCATCATCACCAAAAAGTCTTAATTAACTATCTTAGAATTCTAATAAAAATGATTTTAACTCTCCGATTCATTTACCAAGAATTGGATTTATTCCCTACCCTTTCCCCCCATCCTGCAACAACCAAAAACAAAAATTTATCAACATGAAAAGT